AGGAAGAGACTTAGAAATAAAATGTGAAGAATTCATTCTAAAGAAGGGGTGGGTGAATTTTTGCATGTGTGTTTAAAAGACCAGATAGTAAATACTTTATGCTTTGCAAGCTCTATGGTCTTTTTTTTTGAAGTTACTCAATTCTGTGTAGTGGAAAAGTAGTCATAGACCATATGTAAATGGATGCATTCTAATAAAACTTTATTTATAAATTTTATAAAGCAGCAAACTGGATTTGGCCCACTGGTTGGTCCACTGCTATAAATCATGTGGCAGACGGCCTAGGGCAGCGGCTCCACTTGCCTGGTTCTAAGGGTGATAATGGTGGCATTAGAGCATTTGCAACTTTGTCATACACAGCCAGATTCCCCTCTATAGAGCTTTTAGCATTTTCTTCTACTGCCAGCAATTTTGTCTGTCTCCCTACAGCCTTGTCAAGAGAATGTTTTACCCAATTTTGAATTTTTGCCAGTCTGATAGGTAAGAAGTAGTATCTCAGTGTGATTTTAATTAGCATTTCTTTTGAGTGGTAGTAAAGTTCTATTTTTTTTTTTCTATAAACAATATCTCCTTTGCTATTTTACTGTTGGATTGTTGGTCTTTTTTCGCTAATTTGTAGAAGTTCTTTATACATTAAGAAAATTATCCCTTAATGTGTATTCTGTAGTTATTGGATATAGTGGTCTATAGATTTCAGTTAGGTCAAGGTGGATGAGAGTGTTCAAATGTTTGAGATACCTGATAGTCATTCAAATGGAGTTGTCCACCAGGCATTTGGAAATACAGATATGGAAAAAAGCTCAATCTTTAGAAATACTTATAAATAATTCCCTTCTAATTGTAGCCAACTTGATCACACAAAAAATTCCCTTCATAAATTCATCCTTCACAAACCTTATCATGACTTACACAGACCCTTGATGACATGCTTAGACTTTTTGCTTTGTCCTGTACTTTATTCTTTACTCTTGGCTTTTCTTGACGTGTCTGAATTGTTCCATGTAACAAGGAAACTTCCCATGCTGTTACTAAGACCCATGTACATGTATTCCCCTCCTGAAGGTACTAATTTTCTTTCTCTCTCTCTCTCTTTTTTTTTTTGAGACAGAGTCTCACTCTCTTGCCCAGGCTAGAGCGCCGTGGTGTCAGCCCAGTTCACAGCAACCTCCAACTCCTGGGCTCAAGCGATCTTCCGCTGTCAGCCTCCCGAGTAGCTGGGACTACAGGCATGTGCCACCATGCCTGCCTAATTTTTTCTATATATTTTTAGCTGTCCAAGTAATTTCTTTCTATTTTCAGTAGAGACAGGGTCTCACTCTTGCTCAGGCTGTTCTGGAACTCCTGAGCTCAACAACCCACCCGCCTTTGCCTCCCAGAGTGCTAGAATTACAGGCATGAGCCACCGTGCCCGGCCTGTACTAGTTTTCTTGTTTCTAATCCTCTGTAAGGTGGTGTACACTCATAACCTTAGATGTACTCTTCCTTTGATTAAATTCAGGTACCTTTTTCATCAGGTTTTACTTCCAGGTTATCTAAATGGGTTTCCCATATGGAGAAGCAACCATACTGCAGGAGGCTTTTCTTTATCTTTTCGGAAACTGGCCTAAAAAATGATTTTACATTTTATAATATCAAGATAATTTCCTGCATTGTCTTTATTAGGTTTTTTTATTACTTAGAAAAATTGAGCTCTGAAAGGGTGAAGGGGTTTGTTTGTTTTTGTTCTTTGTTTATATCTATGAAAACTTCTGTATTGCTTTTGAAATCATTTCATTATCCCACTAAATAAATATTATTTCACAGTGACTTCTGGTCCTGTTTTGATCAAGTGTTTTGAAACTGTTGATATCTTTGGCAGGCTTCATCTTTGGCCAGGATCAAAATTCTAAATTAATTGTTTTTGACCTAGAATTAACTTTGGGATTTTCCAGCTGAGCCCCTGGAGAAGCCTCAAAGGATGTATCTCTCATCTTGTAGCAATATTAAATAATTAGGATTGTTTAGTAAATTGTATGGGATGTATTATTAAATGATTAGTGATGCTAGGTTTTCTTTCATTTATGGATATATTATTGATATTAATGTCCCCAAATTATGTAAACCTCTTATAACTAATACAATATCAGTTATAATTGTGGTTATTATATTGTATATGTATGCCATATGTATGCCATAAAAATAACCAAATTTCCTTGCTGATTGCTGATTATAATGAATTTCTATCAGATTTTAACCATGTCTGTTTTAAATGTCATCCACAGTTATTATTTTGATTTTTCTCTAAAAGCATTTGCAATCAGATTCATGAAAAATATTCTAACAAATACTCTTAAATATAGATTTCTAATAACTTTAAGATCAGTGGACTAAATAAAATTTTTTCACAATTCTAATGAAGAAATTGATGGGTTTATAAAACCAGTAATCAAGATCAAGCAAAATAAAAATTAATTATATGAGTTTAAGTAACCAATAATGTTTTTAGGACTTTCATGTGAAAGATTATTGGTTCTTAAATACTTTATTTTCCAGATTTAAGAAAATTTTCTCTCTTAAACTATCTATAGTTTATAGCAATTTGGTAAAGTATACTTTTGTGAACAAAGGTGGAAGCATTTGTTTTTTCTGCCTACTTGATGCCTCCAAAATTTGGGAACTATTCATGAGTATTCTTATGACAATATGGTTATTTGCCTAAGGTCAATTAAAATTTCTTTTATAACAGGATAAAATTTCAAAATTGGTTATATTATCAAGGCTTTGACTGAAATATCATATTTGAGAATGTGCATAGAATGCCTGGATTCAAGAGTTCCCAGGCTTATAGGAGTAAATAAAAACTGTCACTCCCTGGCAAGCTTAAGACTATAGGTAAAATCTAGTTTTCCTTAGTTTGTTCCTAATGTGTTCAATGTAGACAGAAAAAGTTATGTTTTCTAAAGAAAAGCCATAATACCTCTGTTACTAGATTGTAGCTCTGTGCATTGTTCCAAGTTCTTGTTATCTATGTATAGAATAGACTAGATCCTGAATTCTTTTAGAGTCCTCCAATCCAACTTTCTTCCATGGAATTGCTAAAAACAGGAATTGCTTGACAACAGGCATACTTTCGGTGAAGTGGTGGGAACAAAAGCCTGATCTCCTAGAAAAAATGAAGTCATGAGAGAAATACAGTAGGCTGCTGGGCAATTGAGAGTTAACTTGATATCTGAGGTTATAAATTTAAAGATCTATGAGAGCAGTCGTTTTCTAGAGCCATATTTAGCCGCTCAGGTACAGGCGAAACAGAGACAGAGAGCTGTATTTAGAGACGGGAGCTGGTGTTCTGTCCCGCCAGCATGAAGGAGGCAGTCGCGGATGCACCATGTTTACCTGAAAATAAGACCTACCCATAAAATAAGCCCTAGCTGAATTTCTAAGCATTTGTGCAATATAAGCCCTACCCTGAAAATAAGACTGAAAATAAGACCTAGTGATGGGCGTGGCTACACAGCGTATCTGCACAACCCATGCTTTTCGTTGCAGAACAGTAAAGAACAGCCCTTCTCACCTGCCCCATCCTGACAGCTACTATCCCAGAGGTGACTGGAAAGGTGCGGGCAGCCCCACCAACAAGGTCGGCTCCCTGTCAGGTCCTGGCCATCCTGTGTGTGCTGTGAGCTGAGGCTTTGAGGGGGAAATAACACATCCCCTGAAAATAAGCCCTAGGGTGCCTTCTTGAGGAAAAATAAATATAAGACCCTATCTTATTTTAGGGGAAACACAGTATGGATTGGTGAATTTGGCAATCTAAGCTGGATAATGAGAGGAATGAGGAAATGAGGAGAGTACTTAGCAGTCAAAAAGTGGTAAAGCAATGGATTGGAGGTCTAGGTATGATCAAATACCAATTTATTATACTACATAAATACAACATATATACATAAATTACCCCAGTCTCTTTTGGGAGACGTCCACACAGGTTTGATGTTCTTTAGTTCATCAAGAAGTAAACACGACAGGCTGGGTAACCATTTCTTAAATTTTATACTTATTTGAGTTTACAACAATTTGAAGATTTCAGAAGCCCGTTATCAATAGGTACACTCACTATACCACAGATATATTATAAGGCAAAGAAACCCAATTACTGAAAGACTTTTATAAACATTCTTCATTTGGCTACATCACTGAAAGTCTATGGTGTGGAATTTTTTGATGTCTCCCAGAAGAAACATTACCATAAGGTTTCATTTTGTCAGGTTCTAAGAAACTTTATTTTATTTATTTATTTATTTTTTTTTGAGACAGAGTCTCACTTTGTTGCCCAGGCTAGAGTGAGTGCCGTGGCGTCAGCCTGGCTCACAGCAACCTCAATCTCCTGGGCTCAGCGATCCTCCTGCCTCAGCCTCCCGAGTAGCTGGGACTACAGGCACGCACCACCATGCCCGGCTAATTTTTTGTATATACATTTTTAGTTGGTCAATTAATTTCTTTCTATTTTTGGTAGAGACAGGGTCTCGCTCAGGCTGGTTTCGAACTCCTGACCTTGAGCAATCCGCCCGCCTCGGCCTCCCAAAGTGCTAGGATTACAGGCGTGAGCCGCCACGCCCGGCCTTGAAACTTTATTTTTGAAAGGAAAAAAAAATGGTTGGTGGGCAAGAATGAAAAACATGGTTTTTAAAAGGTTATCTGTATATAAATAAAGCACTAATAAATTAGTATAAGGAAGAAGTTTAGAATGCAGGAGTTTTTATGTTGTATAAAAATAAAATACCATGAATTTATATTACATAAGACTGATAAATGATTTTCTGAGTAAATAAAAGAAGTCATCTTATTGGTGGCACACTTACGTGAAAGCTTTCAAAAGATCAGTAATAATTTTTTAAAGGATTTTACATCCCTTTTATAATTAACTAATTAATGACTGATGTTTTCATTTTTTCTCCTATTACATGCAATACTTAGTTGCTCTAACCAACGTTAGGTAACAAAAAAGAAAGAAGAGAGAACTCAAATCAGTCATACTAGTTATTTATTAGCATCTATGGTAAATGGCTAGGTCTGGGAAGGTTGTGGCAATTAAATGTTCTATGCACTAAAGCATTCTTTATTTTAAAACTTTCATTTACCTGTATTTTCCTTGGTCTCAGGAACATGAATAATTTAGAGTTGAATGTATTCACCATTAAGATATATGAAGTGCCCAGATGGTGTGCATTGCACTCATTATGTATGTATATGCCTATGGATACGCTTGAAACTCTGACTTGGGGGGGTGGGCACGGGCAACATATATAACGTAAACATCTGTACCCCCATAATATGCTGAAATAAAAAAAATTTTTTTTAAAAACATATATTAAGTGGAGCTTTCCCTGTCTGAAATCTAAAAGATGTAGCAATGCTCCATTTTACTTTATAAAATCCTCTTAATCTTCTTAATTAAGTTGGCTTCCTCTTAATTAGGTACTCTTGGTACATTTGGAGAATCACAGTGGTGCCATAGGATGAGTGCTGGCCTAGCAGATTAAAGACCTAACATTCGGGGCTTTACAATCTGGGCACTGTGCAGCTGTGCAACCTTCTCTGTGCAGCTGGAACTTCTCTGAGTTTCAGTTTCCTCTGCTGTAAAATACAGGTAGGAATATCCATCTGACTTATTTCAAAGGTACTGTTGTGAATACTAAATGATATAGTGTATTTGCATGTGCTTTGGAATAGGTAATACACCAAACTGTTGATGTTGTTGGTTAATGTATTAAAAATGTAGCTTGCTCTGTAATTTTTTTGTGTTAAAAAAATCAAAATAGAAATCATGGGAAATGTAAACGCTTATGAATCACACAGCCCAAGTGTTAATAACTAATTTACAAATGCTTTACAATAATATCAGAGATATTATTTATGTATTTTTTAAAATAAAATCTTTGCAGCTAAATATTCATCAACTTAATCATTCTTTCTTTTACAAGAATGTTCACTATGTGACATTATAACTCTCCAAAGGAGACATTCTATAATTAGTTCAGTTCTCTGCCTTAAAAGCTTCATTATAAGGCAGAAGAATAGAATAAAGTTTAAAAATAAGCAAAAATATATAACTCTGAACCACAGCCCCCTCATTTAAGGAGCTTAAGAAGAATACTTCTCCCAATATATTTATAAACAATGTACTATTTATATAATAACACTCATTCACAATTTAAACCACAACCAGAGTTTATGTGCATTTTTTATTCCCTTATCAGCTTAAATGATTAAATAGCTAATGGTCTTGAGAGATTGTACTGCATTTTGAAAAGTAAACTACATGTGATATAAAAAGGTTTACCTATTGAATAAGTGTTGGTCAAGTATTTAGAATACAGTCCAGAGTTTTAGAAAAATATGAGAAATATAGCAATGCATGTGATAGGGTCCCATGTAGAAATAGGCCTGTGAAAATTAATGATATGTGTAGGCATAAACAATAACCAAGGTAACCCACCAACTCTCTTTTAAAGGGATATGTAATGAGCTTTTGTAAAAAGAGAAAATGAAATACTTGCTCATTCTAAATCGTATATCTTGATTATATTAAATAGTATAGCTTTTTTGATAAAAAGAAACTATTATAATGTAGGCAACAAATACTTAATTCTGGTCTGTAGCAAAATATTTGGACCAAAGACAAAAGCACATCAATAAAGTGTGTTTAGGAATACATAGTGCTGATATTCTAATAGCACTATGATTTTTGCTATCAACAATCCAAGATTTAGTTCTCCATTAAAAGTGTGTCTGTCTCCCCCCAACCCCCCACCCATATGCACACACACATACACAATTTCTCATACCATCCTGTCTCTACAGATACAGCCCAGGTTATCTTCTGTTTTTGACTATTTTCTTTAAAAATCAACATTTTTTCAACAAATCAATGATCAAAAAATGACTCACTGCTTTCATCAAAGTTCTCTCAAGATCATTCTGTGCTTAAAGGTTAGCCTGTCAAGAACTTGCAGATTTGAAATTAAATTAACATTGGCACAGGGTAATTTTAGATGGAGGTAAAATTGAGTCTATCTTTCACTCAGCAGAACATATTTAGGTCAGTTTAGGAATAAGCAATTGGTAAATTTATCCTCAGCTAGCATAGACGTAGACATAGTTAAAACTATTAGAAGCATGGTTGGGCACCTTTCATTTTATAGTACGCCTTGCAGTACAACGTATCTGTGAGACAGGAAAGACTGAACTAGCGCTCTGTTTCCTCTAATCTTGTATTACATTTAAACAGTACTAAAGTACATTTCTGGTTTGTGGTTTTAAAAGTGTTCACTGTAAACCTCTTATAGTCTTTCCTATTTAATTAATTTCAGAGCTTGAGATTATACCTATGTTTATGTCAAATTATCATTTATTCTACAAAAAGCAGCAGCACAAATAATGTTCATTCTGGTTTTAACACAAATTCCTTAAAAAATGTTAAGGCCATTTAATTGAATCAGGGCCAACTGAAGATTACCCTTGCAAAAGTCAAACTACTGATTTAAGAGTTTTGAAAAAGAGCCGTAAGTGGTTGTCTTGTGTTGTCCTCCTTGGTAGCTTGAGAGCGCTTTGTAGGATTTATTAATCTCCAACATCTCCATCTCGATCTCCAATAAGCCAAAGAAAATGAAAACTTAAGGCTAACAAAGCTGTCCCGAGCAGATCACCCAGTGCTGTTAGGTAGGGGATGGAGAAACTGTCTGGGTCCTTTCCTTTCCTCCAGAAGTGATGGACCATCCAGTCAGCGATCCACAGCAAGGTAAATACCTAGAAGAGGACACCAGAGATCATTCCTGTTGCCTGGACATTCCTAGCCATTAAACATGGCTACAGACTTTAAACCACTGCTCTCTGCAAGGAACAGCATGTGTCTAAGTCAAGAACCATGTGAAAAGAAGAAATTTTTAATTAACAAGAATATTTTCATTTCACAGGAAAAAAAATAGCATGTATGTTTGCAGCCATTAAAATTTTTCTTCAACTTTTCCCATACAACTCATTTTCATCTGGCCTCCCAACAAGCACAATAATCCTTATATTTCTATAACATTATATAGTTTCCAAACAACTATTATTGTTCCTGCATTTTTCTATGTGATAAAACTGTAAAGAAAGAAGACATCTGAAGAAGGAAATAAAAGTTAAATAATTAAACAGTCTCCTATTGCAAGTTTATGAAATGAAATAAAGTTGGGAAACTGGCCATTTACTAATTATAAGGCCATTTGTGGCTTGTCAAGGAAAATTTCAGTACAGTGGTAAGAACAATAACCAGAAGGTAAATGCATTGAGAGACTTGTCTATAGATATACACATATATACATAGAGTTGAAATGTTTTATTTTTTGAAATATTTTTAAAGGACTATTCAAATACTGAGGTGATATGTGTATTTTCTAGAATAGCAGGACTATGAAGACTTTTGTGATATTTTGAATTTTAGGATCAGATAAATGGGATTTTTTTTCTTTTATTGATTTACCTAGAGTAGGAGGATTCTCTAATTTTCAAATCCCTAAAGCAATAAAAGAAATTTGGGATTAGAGAGGTTCATTGGTTTGGGATAAATTGCTGACTTAATTTCTCTGTCTCAATTTCTCCCAGTGAACATAAGGAATTATAATGGTACTTATAAGAATGCTGTGAGGATTGAATAATAGATTAAATAATTCATGCCTGTCACACAATTAACTTTCAATAAATGTCTGCTATTAGATTTCAACAGTATTGTTCTCATTACTATTTGTGGCCCTTCAGGTATTGGGAACATTTGTTATATGCAGGAGGAAGCCCACCCAAGGTTCTATATACTTCATTTACTAATTCCTTGTATAATTTCTACACTGAATAAGAGATTTGTGTAGAGCAGGGGTTGGCAAATTACAGCCCATAAGCCAAATTCAACCTGCCACTTGTTTTTGTAAATAAAGTTTTACTGACAACTCCCATTTGTTTACTTATTGCCTATTTAGGCGATTATTTAATCCTTACAATATTCTCATTAAGTAGGTACTTTTATTATTCCTAATGTTCATTTGAAGAAATCGAGTCAGAGAGGTTAAGTGGCCATGTAGTTGTCAGAAACCATATGGTCCACTAAATCTGAGATATTTACTGTCTGGCTTTTCATGGAAGAAGATGTGCAACCCCTACTCAGGAGACAAATGCTCACTCCTAGAAAAAAGAAAATGGCATCCTTCAACCCCAAACAAATTCTAGGTGAAGATGCAAGTATAAAAATCAATACTTGAAAACTTTTATAAGAAAATATAAGAGAATATCTTTATGACATTGTTTTAAGGGAATGATTTCATAAATCAAATGTATAACATATTCAAGTTAGATAAACTACATTAAAGATTTCTATTGTTCATAAAGTTAAAAAAAAAAAAAGCACCAGGCTTGCAAAAAATCTCTGCCTTGCATATAACTAACAAAAAATTAGTATTCAGAATATTTAGAGAAAATATACAGAGAACTGCAGTTCATAAGAAATCCAATAGGAGAGAGAAGGAAACTTAAAGTGCCAATAAACATGTGAAAAGATGCTCAACATCACTAATAAAAAAATGCAAATTAAAACCACATTGAAATCCATTTCATACCCATCTAATGGGCAAAAATCAAAATTTAAACAATAATACAGTAATAGCAAACATTGTTTCTTAAATGGCCTGTTATGGGGCCATGTAGTGTTCAAAGAAGTTCACATGTATGAACTGAATTAATTTTCAAAACATCTCTGTAATATTATATGAATTATTATCCCTCTTTGACATCTGAGAAAACTAAAGCAAAGTGTAAGAAACCTGCCCAATCCAAATAAAACATGGAGATAAATAACAGAAGAAATAGCTAAAGGAGTTCTGGAGGACTCTCAGTAGCTGATGTTTTATAAATTTACATACACACACATACATTTACATACATATGTATAGATACATATATACACATATAAATACAAGTGGTTTTTTAAAACTTAAAAAATGGACTAGGATAGAAAGCATGTATAGCACACAGTAAGGGTATTTCATAAAACTTTGTTTTAGCTATGAATTTACATATCTTTATATATATGTTTCAGTATGAACATATTTCTTACTGGGCACCATGTTCAAAAATATTTGAAAGCTACTCATCTAACATGTACACTTACATGTTAGGTTCTAGGGATCTAAGATATAAATCTCTAGAAGGGGGAAACCATGTCTTCTTCCTATTTGATGCCTTGGTTTCTAGCAAAATACTTAAACATGATAAACTTGAAACAAATGTTTGTTGTGAAGGGGCTTTACCACGGACTAACTGTGTTACTGTCAACAAGGGAAAAACCTCTCTAAGTTTTAGTTTCCATATCTCTAAGATGAGGTTGCCATTACTATCTCATTAGCTGGTTGCAGAAATTAAATGAGATTATATATATAAAATGCTAAGCAAATGCTTGGTTTATAGTAGGTACTCAATAAATATTAGTGCCATTATCACTGTTGCAACAATTATTATACTCAGAATTTATGGACTCTATTTAAAAGGTTATTGAATAGAAGTCTGAACACTGGTTTTGAACATTAACCAGTTATATGACTTATTACCTCTCTAAGCCTTGGTTTTTTTCAAATGGATGAATTTATGTCTTTAGTCTGTTCTAGCTCTAACTTACAGGGGTAAGAAATTTATTGTCATAAACTATTCAGTGATTGCTCTACTTATCTTTGTGTTTTTCCCTCTCCTCTTTCCCACATTCTTATTCCATTTATTAGATTTACTTATACAATATGCCAAAGAATATGCAATTTCTCTTTAAAGGTATTATGATGACTTAAAGTTCAAGCAGGTTTAAATTTATTAAATTTTTTTTTGCAAGTTAACAAAGGAGATCGGTGTTTCCTTGAAACTTTGTGTGTAATAAATTACTAAAATCACAGTAAGTAGCAGATGCTTCTTAATGCAACATGTTTTTAAACTAAATGATCATTTAAGGAATACATGCTTTTCATGGGAAAGCACACTGAATATCAAACCAAAAGTAGTCTATGTTTTTACATCGTCTGTTTGTTCTCTATGAAACATGCATAACTTCTCTAGGTAAATATGCCTTCTGAAAAGGTAACTTTGTAGCCCTAGCTAATTATGCATGTTCTAGATGTATTTCTTGGAATTTAAATATATAAAGTATAAAAACATATATTTGCTTTGGACGATATTGATTCTCTTGGCCAGCTCCTTCTTTGAGCTAGAATCAACATTCCCATGAATCAGCGTCTCCATAATGCCTTAACTGCCAATACCTGCCTTGTGTATAGTGTGAGATAGATGATTTCTATGGGAGAGCAATGCTTAGAAATATGATACAAAATAACCCCAGAAGTAGCAAATTAGTACAGTTCTTCCTAACTCCTAACTTTACAAAGGTTGAATTTATTAATATATCCCCTATAAAAATATGTTTCCCTAATCTCATTTCCAGGCCAGAAACTCTACTCATTAAAATCTAATATTTAAATGTCTGCTAAGAATAATTTAGGATTATCAGTCAACAGGAATTCAGTCTACTAATATTCAGATAAAAGCATCTTTTCTTTGACTTAAACTATTTTTGTGAGGTGGCAGGTGGGGGAAGGTGGGAAGTAAGTGGTGCTGCTGAAAAGACAGCTGATGTTTGGTTACCTTTTCCTTCTATAGTGGGAATTATTATCTCTATTTTTGGAAGAGAAAATTTCGATGCTGAAAGGTTAAATGACTTGCCCAGTTACACAACTAGCAAAAGGTAGAGTCAAACCCAGGTCTACGCTTCTTCCCCATATAACATTACCCATACTGGGCAGTGACGGGGGCAGCCAGAAAAGGAGATGTTGTGTATCTACAGGTAAAATGTTTCTAACTGCAGATACATAACAAAAAACAAAACAACAACAACAAAATAAAATAACCCAACCCCCCAAACAAAAACACAACAAAATGACTGGCTTGAAACTTCCTTTTTTAGCAACATTGTAAACAAAATACCCTAAACAGCCCAGCCACTGGAAACAAAATGCTCCAATAAAATATCAAAACTATCTTTGTAGTATCTATCAAAACTATCATGCATCACTGAGCTGGCATGAAAGTAAGGAATCCTCAGAGGCCCAAAACAAAGGAAACAGGCACACAGGGGGTAATTCTCCCACCAAGGCTAGCTTTGGCCCTGAAGATCTTGAGTGGGCTGCTTCACATAAGCTAAAGAGCTACACCTTCTGAATAAGAAATAAACCTGTCTTCCAGCAGAGGCAGGAAGGAAAACTTGTCTGACTGTAGGTACTACACGGTGGGAGAAAAATACCCCCTAAAAAGTCTTAACCACAAGGTGATCCTTATATGGATCTGAGGCCAATATCAAACTACCTCTGTGGTCTGAAGAACCTCAAACTGCAGAGAGTTGCCCCTCGGTATCCACTGGGGATTGGTTCCAGTACTCCCCCAGGATACCAAAATCCAAGGATACCCAAGTCCTGTATAGAAAATGGTTCAGTAGATGCAATAACCTATACATATTCTCCCATATACAGTCATGCTTTGCTTAATGAAGTGATATGTTCTGAGAAATGTATCATTAAGCAATTCTATTGTTGAGCAAACATCCTAGAGTGTACCTACACAAACCTAAATGGGATAGCCTAACACACACCTGTGCTATACGGTGTATAGCCTATTGCTCTTTGGCTACAAACCTGTACAGCATGTTTCTGTACTGAATACTCCAGGCAATTGTAACACCATGGTCAGTA